TGAGGATGTGTGATGAGATAGGTGTCGATGAGAGATTTGGTTATATACGACGCGATAATTGACGGATATAGGACCGGCGCATCCGGGGGGAGCATCCCCGCGGTCAGCTCCAGCCCGGCAAATGGGCCTTCCTTAAGGATATACGGAAGGGGAACCTCCCTACCAAGGCTCGGAGGTGTCGTTTCCTCAAGTATGCGGGTGATGGCGGAGAGACCAACACCGGCATCAACAGAGATGAGAGAGCCTTTGGTCCACCCGGAAGCGACTGAACGAACCAACAGGGAGGTCGTATTGTTTTCTTGGGGACCACCGCCAGCACCCTGAAGCAGGTTAGTGGGGTGCGACGACGTAGATGCATATCAGCGAAGGGATTCCGTGAAGTGCGACAGGTCGCAGTCTATTGGTCAGCGCCTCATTATATCGATCTCAAGATTCATAGTATCTTTGAGGTATTTCTTGAGGTTTGCTGATATGCGTGGTACCCGATGTGCACTTGCAGATTCAGGTTGGCTCGCGGCTGCAGAATGAGTTGCCTATTCGGTACGATTAGGTCCCGATAAAGACGACTGCATGAACGGCAGAGTATGCGCCGCCCGGTTGGGTCGGGATGACTGCGCGGCTGTCCATTGCGACTAATAACGACTCCCATCAACGAGAAATGGCGGTCGAGTGTAGCCAGCGAAGAAAGTAATTGCGCCGGTGGGCCGAACAGGAGGCAGACAACGTGACGGGCAGCAGTTTCGGGGTGCGGAGGACGGCAGATGATGACGAGTGACGACAATAAACAGCAGCAACAGAAGACGAAAAAAGGCGACAAAGATGAGATGGACGTACCAGAACAATGACCTGAAGAGATGGCCGACGAGCCTTTTCCGGCTCCCCGTTCGTGTCTGCCATGATGGGGTCTTCTCAGCCCGAGGCGCAATGCAGATTCACGTTATGAGATGCGCGTGAGAGGATTAAGATTTCTGCCAGTGGTGACAGCGCAGCCAATGCCGCTTCGAAAGCCACCACCCGCCAATACAGAATTGCCGCGATGAGGTAATGGGGCGCGTGGACGTGACAGGAGGAGGGACGGTACGGCACGGCAAATGAACTTGGCGCAGGATGCGACGTACAGATGCGCGCGTGTTGGGTTGCTGTATCGCGGAGGCCGGCGCAACTTTGGCGGAAGTGTGAGTGGTCGTCGCAAGGACTGGCAGGTCCAGGATGAACAGTCCGAAGGGATGGAGAGCGGACGATGAAAGATTTTGAGGTGAACCGTGATGGTTGTTGTCGGTGAGTGATGGTTGGTCGGCAACTGAAGGGAGCTATCCAAGTGTAAGGCACGACGAGGTTGAGGCGAGGCGAGGAAGTCAAAAGGTAAGACAGCCTTTTCCAGAAGAGTCGTAGTAGCCTTCGGGGTGGGCTTGTTCCCCCGAGGACATCAGCCTGCGAAAAATATGAGGAGGCTAGAAGAGAAGGACACCGTTTCGAAGCAGCGAATCGAAACAGGGCTGGGGCGCAGGTCAGGTCAGGTTAAGGTAGATCGGGTCTGATGTTTGCGCCTACGCCGCCCTCTTTCCCTTTTGATCCTTTTTTTTTCTTCCTTTCCCTCAAATGTCCCTCTTGCTAGCTGTCGGCGATTGGCGACGGCGACGGCCTCCACACAGCTCGGTGGTCCCAGGTCCCTGGGAGGAAATGGGGATTGGGGAATGGGGGGGAATGGAGACGGTATGGACGGCTTCCCCGATGCGCCGGCCGACGACGTCGTGCACCACGCACGCAGCGAGTGGATTTGGCGGCAAGCGCCCCTCCGCGGTCGTCGGTTGCGCGTAGTGCTGCTTGGGTAACGCAGGTAAGGTAGATAAGGTGCGGTGCGGTGCGGATACGGGAGCGCTGCAGAGGATTAATTGATTGTGGATTCCGGCCTCTTGGGTGTAAGGTATTAAGGTCGGGTAGGTTGGGGGTGCGGATGATGGTGTGTTTAAGTCCGATGAGCTGGTTTTTTGTCAATGGCTTTGTTCGGGGCGTCGGGCGTTGACCTCAGCAAAAGGTTGTAAGAGAAAACGAGAAAGAAGTAGCAGGGAACAAAGGGCAGAGGCAACGGCCAAAGAAGGACCAAAAGGTAAAGCAGAGAGAAGCACACACCTCGGTCGGATGCAGTGACAATGGAGCGGGCGTCGCCAGAAATGTTTGTGCTCTCTCTCTCTCTGTGCTCTGGTTGCTAGCTACTAGCTGCAGCAATGCAGGTGCGAGTGCAGCACAGGAGGTGAGAGGTGTGTGTGTCGGTGCTAGCTGCTGCTGAGGTGCTGCTTGGAGGAATGGCTATGCAATGTATTTCCTCTAGCAAGATTAAGTGGGAAGATACCTGCTGGAAGGGGCGGATCCTGACAGTCTGTGTCAAATGTTCTGCAGCTTGAGGTGGGTGAGATGCAGCATCCGGCTGCAGATTGCTCCTAGTGGGTGCCCTGCTGCTGCAGTGTGGTAGGTGCTCAGCTGGCTCGTGCTCAGCTCCCCAGATGCTCCCCCAAGGCGTGTGTGGTGAATCTGAGATCCAGGCTGAAGACGCGATGCGGCAAGTGGTGCCGTGATGAAGTGCAGGTGCGTGTTGTGGTTGGTTGATCGGTTGGTTGTTTAGTCAGTCAGGGCAGGTACTCAGTAGGCAGGTAGGTGGTGGTGGTGGTGGTTGTTGGCCGCAGTGATGTTGTTGCCGTTGTATCGCGACTTCAGTCCTGCCGGCTATTGCCCACGCGCAAAAGGTAGCTCCAAGTTACTACTCTTGCCAATTGCGTGTCGTGGTAGCTTTCTTCCTGCTGTCAGGGTCCTGGGCAATGAACCACCTCATCGAAAAAGGCAAGAACCACTGAGAGTTCCGGCTGCCGTCTCCCGAAGCTGTCGGGTCGGAAGCTGTCCCTCACCCTCTTTGCGCTTGCCTGCCGTCGTGACCTCCGTCCTCCCTGCTCTTTTGGACGTTGTTGGACTGCCTGCCTTCCAATTCTGGTATTTCACCTTAACCAAGGTTGAACTCTGCACCACGTGATGCTGCCCGTCATTGGCCTTTCTCGCGCCAATTCTCGCTCCAGTCTCGGCTCCCGTCTTCGTCTCTTCCTCGATCTCGAACTCAATTGCAGGCCGGTTGCCCCAAAGCCTGCTTGCCTTTCGTCCTCACTCTGGTCTCTGCTCGCAATGTATCGCCTCGTCTTGCTCAACCCAGAAAAGCACAATCCCAGAAGCGACGAAGATCACCCGGTTACACCCCAGGCTAAGCTTCAACCCAGTGTTCCAGCTCTGTGCCGTCTGATGTCCGATCGCCAATGGCTCGCGGGGGAGACCGGGCTTCGAAGCCGAGTAATCAATCCCAACCTTGGGACGAAGCAAATCACCTCCACGAGGCAGCGTCACCCTTTCCTCGGATCCCTGGCGCCCTCTTCGCAGCGCGCGATGTTGCCTCTGCGTATCCGGTTATCAATGCGATGGCCCTCTGCGAGCGCAACAGACTTTGAGTCTACAGCGAACCGCCAAGTCAGAGAAGGAAAATAGAACAACAGAAACAAAGTCTCCAAGTCAGGCCAGAGTTTCTCGTGCCAGAAGTCGAGTCAAAATTGCCTCATCGGCCTTTCGAGAACAACCATGTCCACCTCCTTCATGACAAACGACAGAAGACAATGACGACAGGCCGACAAGGACCACGGTCTCATATTTGTATGTACAGTACCTCGACTTCCACGCGAAAACGCCTCTTAGTGCGTGGCTATCCCGTCCTGCCAATTCTCTGACTAACCCACGATTACATTGTTCGCCTTGCGCCATCATCTGCACCACCACCTGCACCTGCCCTCGTTATGTTTCGTCTCTTGCGTCCCGCGCCGACGCCGACGCCGCCGCCGCTGTGCGCCCTGCTCGCTGACGTTCCGGTCTTACTAGTTTGCCAGTTCAGCCCTGCATCCGACGGGCACACAAGAACGGCCGACAACGACGGCGGAATCGATTGGGCGGATCACTTGCTGTGTCGATACAAGCGCCATGGACACGCCGTCTTCAGCGAGGAGACTTCAGTCGTCGTTACGCAGCTTTGCATCCATTCTGCACTAGCGCCTCACCCGCCTTCGGCCTCGCCGCTGCAGTTGTGTGCCAGCGATTCCCACCAGCCAAACCTGCGACTCATTTGTCCACATCTACAACCCGCTTTCAACCTCCGTTGCTCCGACATTGCTTGCGCTATGCTGAATTCTGTCTGCTCACAAACCATGCCATAATGCGGACGAAAGTCCATCACGATGCTCACCCAATCCATGTCGCTGCATCTATTGGCGCCTCTAGCGTGCCATGAGGCTGTCCCTTATGGAAACTTTCTTGTGTGGAAAGCCCCGCTATTAAGGGTGCCACAGCCGCCTTCATCACCCAAATTCTCCTCCGGTTCCCCCTTCCCCTCCCCGGCCGCCGCCGTGCAAGCCCGCGGGCGGCTGTCCAAGCTTTCCCAATCTCTGCGAACCCTCTTTTCACGATCAAATCGTGGCCATTAGCGTGAGCGTGTGCTCTGCGCCGCCCTCTCATGCCCGACCGTTTGGGACCGTTGTCTGACAGGGCGTTTGCGGCTGCCCCGGTCCAACAACTCCAATACTTGGCAAACCCTTGGCTTGAGCCTGGATAGTGAGTCAGGTCTCACAGCCGCAACAACGGGGAAAGCATGTACGCGCTCCTTAGCGGGACTTTTTGATATATGTGTCTGTCTACTTTTGTCTACCTAGCCCGTTGGCTACCGGCCTTTGTGCTCCGAAATATTTTCCGTCATCCCATACACCCTTGTCAAGTAGGCAAGATTAAGTCTAAGTAAACAAAGATACGCTGGCAAATTGCTCGAGGACCTAGCTCGAGTCGAAAGAGAGGATGAATAAACTATATACAGAATGGCGCACAAAGACACCGAGGTCTCCATCTGCAGAATGGTTTCAGGGCCAGCCAACAGACCAAGGCTGCGTGGGACGTGCCCAGTCCAGTGCCGAGAACCGAAGGACGGATCATGAGATTGATTTGCACTGACGGCGCTGGCGTTTATGGCTGTCGTCCAACTCACACTCGTCCACCAGGCAGCGTTGGCGCTTATTGCCGTTTGTTTCGGCCAGCTCAGCGTTGCGCCCGTCATCCTCAGCCTTGCGGCGCGGTGTCTTCTTAGTGGCCTTGGTATCGTCCACTGCGCTCTGGGGAGTTTCCTCATCCTCGCTAAAGATCTCTTCGCAATCGGCCAATCGAGCAAGCGCTCTTGACCCGGCGTCTCTCTGCGCCTTTGCCCGCTTCTTCCTCTCGTTCACCTTTTTGACGTACCAGCCTAGGTCGCCCCTGTGCTGATCGATGGATATGCCGCCGCGGGAATCCCGCATCTGCTGTCGGACACCGGTCTCCAGGGCGAGATGTTTGGTAGTCAGGGTGTACCATAGCTTCTGCTGCTTTTCAACGACGCGGTTCTCCGTAGGCAGGCCGAGAACCTTGTTCGTCTCGCAGAGTGCCCTCCACTCCTCGTAGCCCTGCTTCTGCGCCTCGCGCCAGTTCTCGTACTCCATGACCATCTCGTCGCCGTCTCGGTTCATGGCCATCGGGTTCTTTTCCTCCTTCTCAAAGTGTCTCGCGTCTGGGCGCATGTCAAACGCTTCCGAGATCTCGAAGAGGTCGAAGCACCGGTCCATACAGTACAGATGCATGTACCCGGCGTTGAAGAACGGGTTGTACTCCTTACCGGAAGACTCTGGCCGCTCGTCGAAGCAGACCCTCCAGAAGCCCTTCAGGATGGTGCCCGTCGGCACGGGGCAGCCGTTCCAGCGGCATTTGAGGGTCCTCGGGTCCGGGACGCGGCTGGTGCAGCCGTGCGGATGGTTCTGTATCCAGATGGTGAGCGGGAGGGAGAGGCGCTTACGCTCCGTCATGTAGTGCAGGAGCTCGTCACGCGAGAAGCGGCATTCGGGTTTCCATTCGCCGGTTGGTCTGTACTGGAAGAGGGGCTTGGTCGCGGGAGAAGGGCCGCCCCAGTCCGGCGTCGCGGGGGGCACGGCGTACCAGTCTGAGGCGTCGATGTCTTTTGCTTTCGCGGGACGGGGGATGCGTTTGATTACCTTGCCATTGACGACTGGCGGAGTTGTGTCGCGGGCGGAGGGCGCGGGGGAGGCGGTTGTTGAGGGGACTGGGGTGGCGAGGAGTTGGCCCTGGAAATCGACTATGCTTGAGGGTGCGAAGCTATGAGACGGTTCTACGCTGCAGCGCTCGGATTTGATGAAGGTAGGAGATGCTGTGGCGATTGGCTGTGGGTGCTGGAGTGTTGTCGTTGCTGTCGAGAGTGTAGTCGAAGGGAATGGCGGGGGGTAAATGGACTGCGGTGAGGTTAGGGAGACGGCTGGCGGAAGAGTGGAAAGGAGGGATACCGCCTCTTCGTCGAATGTGAATGGGATTTCACCGGTCGAGACGGTAGAGAGGTCTGAGAAGAAAGACTCGATGGTGGTCAGGGCGGTGGATGTCTTTGTCTCGGGGAGGGAGACTTCGGGTGAAGTGAACAAGTCAAGGTCGAGGTTTGGGGCAGTGGGCCAAGTGAAAGACGTCATGTCGATGTCGTTTGTGGCCCATGTTGAAGGGAAGGAGAAGAGGGAGGCGTCGGTACCTTGCTGAGGCTCAGTCGGGGCTGAGAGGTCGGCCAAGAGGGAGGAGAAGATATCCTCGGAACAGGCCTCTTTGTCCTCGTTGGAGGGTGCCGAGGGTAGCACGAGCGTGGAGGGAGGTTGTACGCCCTCGGGCCGCTGGATGAAGATGTCGGACGGTTGGATCGTCGGCTCGACGTAATCACCAAGGTCGATGTCTCTGAAGATTGATGTGAAATCCTCCTCTAGGGGGTTCGTTTCTGTTGGTGGAGGGGTTGCGCCCGTTGATTGTGTAGAGGGCAACGGGCTGCCTGAAGACGCGTCCGGGACCGGCCCGGCGCAGGCGTCGAAGTCGAAGAAGAGATTCGGATCGGACAAGTCATCAAATGATGTGGGCGGCATGTCGAAGGTGGAATCGAAGCTTTCGAAGTCCATGTTCTCTATCCTGATCTCAACTGCAACGTTCCTCTTCTGGTGCTTTCGTCTGTCCGACTGCTCTCCGAGTCGTTTCTTCGGTTTCGAAAAATGGTATTAGAATTGGTTGATAAGAATTGAATGGAATGCTGGAAATGCTGCGGTGTGTCTGAATCAGGAAGTGTGTGGTCAAGAGCTGCGGGCGATCAAGTTTAAATGTTCTGGGGCATGATTCGTCGTCTGGGTCATCCCCCATACTGTCAAGAGTGAAGAAGAGCATTGTCTCTTTGGCTAACTCCGTGAATAAAGATTTCATTTTGCTATAATAGATGGTATGAACAAAGTAGTGCTGCAGAACAGCAGGCGGCTGTGAGGAGACAAGATGTGTCTGTGAGTGGACAATGGCCTTCATGAGCCGAGGCCAAAGGAACATTGATCAAGCACAAGACAGTTGGGTGTGACTTGAGGACATAGGGATAAGAGGACTCGAGCGAGTGTTGGCTCCATTGTCTGAGTTCTTGAGGTATCTGTTTCATTCGTTAGTGGCTGACCAGCTGCGCGTTGCGAATGAAGCGGATATAAGAGGTAGGATCAGGAGCTCAAAGCAAGTTTTTCGACACAAAGTGTTTCCGAACAGGTCTGTGTTTTTGCATTGTCTCATCATCTGAGAGGGTTGGGGAGGAAGACTGCGAGGAGAATCGGCTTACCTGTTAGTTATGCGACTGAGATATTGGGGAGGTTTGTTTGCAGCCAGAGTCGATAGGATTGAGGCCCAACACCACTCGATGGGAGCCTCGACCCTTTCTCGACCAACAATCATCTTCGAAGCCAAGGCGCGCAAATAATCATTGAGATGGGTTCTCATGGCGCGCCGGGCGGTAAGTCAAAGATCGCGTGGAGGCAGCTCCTTGTCTGGCGTCCAATCGCGTCTTTCATCCCACTGGAGGGCAGCTGACACGTTCGCAAAGCTCCATCGATGAGAGTAGCGACTCAAATAAGAGTCCCATCTGCCAACGATGCTCGCGACGGAGTGCTGCGAAGTGGCTTGAGAAAGTGAAGTAGCAAACGCGTAGTGAGGAAAACTTTTTAATATGACTTAGGTAAGTCGTAGAAAAAGGTTGGCGACGAAGAGCCCCGCCGTCGTTGCGGTTGGCTCGTGCGCTTGAAGGTCGATGAATCCTTGTCGACACTAAGCCGTTCAAAGGGCCAGGCCTGATCGGGGCATTTAGACGAGCCAATGACGCAGAGCGGCGTGAGATGGGATGGATCTGCAGATTCCTTCTCCAGCAGGCAAGAAAAGACACTCATCAGTGCTGGGAAACAAACGACGAACGACGTGCCCGTTGTCGGATTTCATCTCGGGATTGGACTCAGATGAAGTGTGGTCCCTGGATGCAGGCGAACAAAAATAACTTACTAGGCCTGCAGTAGCTGGGCATCAGTATTGACATAATTGGCGATGGTTTCTGTTTTGTTCAGGCAGGTCCAGGGGCGTGAGATCGATGGGCACCTCGCAACAGGGAAGCATCCGATGGAAGGCGTTGGGCCGTTGGCTGGACCAGGGCCGGCAGTCACCTCCTTCAGTCATCCAGTGACTTGGCTGCCCCGTTTGGGACGTCCTCCGACCGGCCGTCTACTATTCTGGGTCGATTCTTGATTTCGGGCTGCTGGCATCGACCGCATCCCGGATTTGATCCTCAACGATGCTTGTCCCTATGACGCTATCATCGAGTGCCGCATTTCGAGGTGTTTCCGCTGGTGACATGAAGCCTCATGCGCTGATGTTTCTCCCCTCACCCTCAGAGCCGAACCCCCAAACCCTGCGAGTTGTTGCCTCGCGGGTACCTGAAAGTCTGCTGGGCTTTGCAATCCGGGATCTCGACGCTAATCATCAGCTTGACACCGGCTGTCGGCCTGGGTGAACAGGATGAACTTGCCAGAATTGCCCCTCATTGATGCTGAGTGTGGACTGCGTAGTGAATGTCCCCATCGAGCACTCTTTGAGATGCTCCGTCGCGGCGCATACAGATTCCACCATTTGCTACAGAACATGCGCTCTTCTTGGCCGAAAAGCTGTCCGTTCTCTCCTGCATGTCTCCAGGGTATGACAACCGCAACGTTTTCGCACTCGTATCGCTGCTTGCTATCCAGCCAACCACCACCAATCTTTGTCAGTTGAGGCCGGGTGCCGCACCACCCAACTCCCCGTGTTCCCGCCTCGAACCCTGAACTCGCCCTGTACGTACTGCTGAGAAGTGGCCTGGACTCTCGACTGGCACCCGGCGGCAGGTTCGTAGGTCGCCTTAGTCGCCCACCACCCTCATTTTGGGCCAAACCCAGTAAAGCAGCCGCTGCTCCTGGTGCTCTTCCTGGCCCGACCTACGTCACGAGACTGAACGAACTGCCTGGGTGGAGGAGAATGAGGAACGGCCTGCACCTGCACCCGCACGCAACCCGCAATCCGCAATCCACACCAGCAGGACTCTCTGCTGGACCTGACTTGCTCTTCCCACTCTCTGCACAGAGGAGAGCAGCCACCAGTCGGGAAACGGAGTCAGAGTCAGGGACATCGACCAGCCATCGGGGCGACCACAATATCGAAAGCTCTGGTGCCCTGACTTGCGATCGGCCCTCCTTTACCTCACCTTAATCCTTAACTCTGGACGACTCCCACCTCTCCCCACAACGCCCATTACCTTACCCGGGGGTCTCGGCCACTTCCAGACCCTCTTCGCATTCCTTCCCATCGTTACCGTTGCAGTCGTCGAACCAAGAAATCCTCCAACATGGCACAATTAAGCCCCGACTTGCAAAACAAGCTCGATGAGCTGGAGAAGGAGTTGGAGGTACGTTTGCGACCCCGTGGCGCCATGCGGCGAGCCCGCCCCGAACCCGAACCACCTCGACAGCCCTCGCGCGCGCGCATCGTGCCCGAGCACCCGCAGCCGCTGCCAAAACCTTGACTTGCTCGCATTGACTGACGCGCTTTTGTGCTTGTAGGAAGGCGACATCACAGAGAAAGGGTGGGCATTTCCCCTCCTTTTGTCCTCTCTCCAAATCCCCACGTCGGCGCGATAGCGGCTAACGAACCCCTCTTCCCTCACAGATACCAGAAGCGACGAACGCAGCTCCTCTCTCAGTACATGGGCCCAGGCTCAGCCGGATTTCCCGCCGCCCCCGAGACCAGAGGCGGGCTGGGTATACACTCACCAGACAGTTCAATCCATCCCTCGAGCGATGGTCACCGAGCAGCCGCTCTCGCCGCCCTCGGCGGTAGAGATTCCGATCCTACGAGCCCGACGTCCCCAACCTCTGGACGACCGCAATCACCATACGGAGGCCATGGATCCGCGGGGTACGCCTCTCCTGGATATACCTCGCCCGGCGACGGCTATGGCTCGCCCCAGATGAACCCCGCGGGCCTCCTCAGACCTGGTGGCCCCCTCGCGGAGCACCGGCCGACTATGAAGCAGCATGATTCTCTCTTCTTGGGCAACCCAAATGAATCGCACACTCGATCAGGCACCATGGTTTCGACCGACTACGCCTTCAATCCCGACCAGCAGGGCGCCTACATGGACCAGACGCAGAACCAGTACGATAGCCGCACCGGCACGATGTTGGACACGACAGGTTATTTCTCGGGCTTTACTGGAGGCCAGAATTTTGACCAACCTCCCCATGAGGAGTACGGCGGAGGACATAGATATTCCTCCGGCGAGGCCTTCTCGCCCACGGCAGCCATGGCACCACCCATGTTGACTGCAAACGATCTACCTCCACCAGAGTCGCTGGAGTACCAGATGCCCCTAGAACCTCGCGATCTCCCGTTTGCCATCTCCGACCCGCACGACAGCAATACCCCAATGTCAAAGTTTGATAATATCGCCGCTGTCTTGAGGCACAGGGGCAAGACGACAGCAAAACTTCCCGCGTACTGGGTCCTTGACAGCAAAGGCAAAGAAATTGCCTCCATTACGTGGGACAAGCTCGCCTCAAGAGCCGAGAAGGTCGCACAAGTCATCCGAGACAAGAGCTCGCTCTACAGGGGAGACCGAGTTGCGCTTATTTACCGTGACACGGAAGTCATCGATTTTGCGATCGCTCTGCTGGGCTGTTTCATCGCCGGTGTCGTGGCGGTCCCCATCAATGACTTGCAGGACTACCAGAAATTGAACCTGATTCTCACGTCGACTCAGGCGCATTTGGCTCTCACCACGGACAACAATCTGAAGACATTCCAGCGCGACATAACAACGCAGAAACTGAATTGGCCCAAGGGTGTTGAGTGGTGGAAGACGAACGAGTTTGGCAGTTTCCACCCGAAACGCAAAGATGATGTTCCGCCTCTGACGGTCCCGGACCTTGCCTACATTGAATTTTCAAGGGCCCCTACTGGTGATCTCAGAGGTGTTGTGCTCAGCCACCGGACTATCATGCACCAAATGGCATGCTTGAGCGCAATTGTGTCTACGGTGCCTGGAAACGGGCCGGGTGATACCTTCAACCGTACTCTGCGAGACAAGAATGGCCGGCTCATCGGTGCCGGAGCCACAAGCGAGACATTACTGTCGTATCTGGATCCCAGACAGGGCATCGGTATGATTTTGGGTGTTCTCCTCACTGTTTACGGAGGACACACCACCGTTTGGCTCGAGAACAAGGCTGTTGAGGTTGCCGGACTTTACGCCCACCTCATTACCAAGTACAAGGCAACCCTCATGATCGCGGATTACCCCGGTCTCAAGCGCGCCGCCTACAACTACCAACAAGATCCCATGACGACGAGAAACTTCAAGAAGGGCATGGAGCCCAACTTCCAAACCGTCAAGCTCTGTCTTATTGATACTTTGACGGTCGATAGCGAGTTCCACGAAGTCTTGGCAGACAGATGGCTGAGGCCTCTGCGTAACCCCCGCGCTCGTGAGGTTGTTGCGCCAATGCTCTGCCTACCAGAACATGGCGGCATGGTTGTCAGTATCCGTGATTGGCTCGGAGGCGAAGAGCGGATGGGATGTCCTTTGAAACTTGACATGGGTAGCGACGTTGAGTCCGATGTGGAAGAAAAGGAAGAAGTAAAACCGGCACCTTCCAACGGCTTCGGCAGTCTCCTTGGGGGTGGAGGTACTGCTACTACCGAACAGCGCGCTAAGAACGAGCTCAGTGAGGTACTTTTAGACCGAGAGGCCCTGAAAACGAACGAGGTTGTAGTTCTCGCGATAGGAGATGAGGCTCGGAAGCGGGCAACCAGCGAGCTAGGAGCCGTTCGTGTTGGTGCATTTGGTTATCCGATACCCGATGCCACGTTAGCCGTCGTCGATCCCGAGACCGGCTTGCTGGCATCACCACATGCGGTTGGAGAACTTTGGGTCGATTCGCCTTCACTGTCGGGCGGTTTCTGGGCTCTTCCTAAGCATACTGAGCAAATATTCCACGCCCGTCCGTACAAGTTCGACCCAGGTGAGCCGACACCGACGCCTGTGGAACCCGAGTTCCTGCGAACCGGC